TGATGATGGGTACGGGGAAGGTAGAGATGGATAGAGAAGTTTGCAGGCAAGTGGTATTGACCATTATAGTGTACAGGTGAGGGAGGATTTTCTTCCCTTAGAGTTGGTAAGTACCGATGTCATTTGGGGTTGAAATGGCTGCATACTTTGGAGGAGACCAAGGTTAATTAGGGTGCTATGAGGATGAAACTTATGGTTGAAGGATAGAGGATGGTGATCCAGGGTAATGTAGGGCTATCTAGGGCCAGAGTATCTCTTAAATTCATGATCATATCTATATAGGAGGTGGGAGGTAGGTATTTGGTGGAGCTACAATGCTTGGAGAGGGTCAGTGTGGGGGAAGAAGGAGATATTTCAATGGTGGTGCAACCACTCATACAAAAGTTCAGGGAGGTGTTCCAGTCACCTCAAGGCTTACCACCACCTAGAGAGCAAGAGCATGCAATCCTTTTGAAGGATGGGGTGTCACCAATTAGTGTTTGATCTTACCGCTACCCCCAAATTCAGAAAGATGAAATTGAGAAGCTGATTAGGGATATATTAGAGGCAAGGATCGGTAGAACAAGTGTGAGTCCTTTCTCTATTACAGTCTTACTGGTCAAAAAGAAGGATGTGAGCTGGAGGTTTTACGTGGATTACAGGGCTTTGCATAAAGAGACGGTACTAGATAAATCCCCCATTCTGGTGATTGATGAGTTATTAGATGAGTTGCATGGAGCAGTAATATTTTTTAAGATAGACCTGAAGTCGGGCTATCACCAAATCAGAATGACGGAGGAGGATATTCATAAGATAGCTTTCACATGAGGGACACTATGAGTTCTTGGTGATGTCATTTGGGCTTACTAACGCCCCTGCTACTTTCCAATCTTTGATGAATAGGGTGTTCCGACAGCATCTTAAGAAGTTTGTTCTGGTCTCTTTTGATGACATCTTAGTGTATAGCCAAACAGAGGAGGAGCATCTGGAGCATTTGAAAGAGGTTCTTAAAATTCTACATGTACATCAGCTGAGGGCTAACCTAAAGAAGTGCAGTTTCTCCCAGTCTAAGGTGGAGTATTTGGGACATGTAGTGTCTCAGGAGGGAGTGGCGGCCGATCAATCACAAATTGAGGCAATGCAGAAATGGCCAATGCGTAGGAACATAAGGGAGTTTAGGGGTTTCCTAGGATTGACTAGTTATTATAGAAGGTTTGTGAGGGGGTACAATACCATCGCTTGACCGTTAACTGAGCAACTGAAGAAGGATATTTTTTATGGGGAGAGGCAGCAACCCAGGCTTTTGAGAGGTTGAAGAAAGCAATGACAACAGTCTTAGTATTAACTCTTTTAGATTTTAGCTAGATCTTTGCAGTGGAGACTAATGCATCAGGGTATGGCTTGAGAGTAGTGTTGATGCAGAATCATAGACCTATAGCCTACTTCAGTCAGGTGATGTCGACCAGGGCTTGATTGAAGTCAGTATACGAGAGAGAGCTGATGGCCAGATTCTTTGCCATTCATAAATGGCATCCTTACCTTTTGGGTAGGCATTTCATTATTCGTATGGATCATAGGAGCTTGAAGTACTTGTTGGAGAAAATGATGGTGACCGCGGAACATCAAAGGTGGTTGTCAAAGCTTTTAGGCCATGATTTTGAGATTTAGTATTGGTCAGGGGTGAAAAATAAAGTGGTTGACGCTTTATTTAGATGTGTTAGGGAACTTCAGGAGTTGGTAGTTTCAGTACCACTAATGGTTAACTAGGGGGCCACTAAGGAAGAAAGGATGAAGAGTTAAAGAAGATTAGGGAAGATTTGATGAAAGATAATAGTAGCCATTTAGGATACTATCTTGAGGGGGAAAGATTATTGAATCAGGGGAGGTTTGTGATGCCATTAACATCCGTACACATTCCTCACATATTACATGAATTTTCGGTAGTACAATTAGTGGTCATTCGGGAGTACAGAGGACGTATAGGAGGCTGGCATCGGAGCTTTACTGAAAGGTGATGTATAAAGATGTGGAGGAGATGGTGACAAAGTATGAGGTGTGCCAGAGAAATAAATATATGTCAATGGCACCTCGAGGATTACTACAACCCTTAGCACTTTCAAATAGAGTATGAGAGGAAGTGTCCATGGATTTCATTGACGGTCTACCCTGTTCAAAGGGATTCACAATCATTTTTGTCATGGTGGATCGACTTAATAAGTATGCACATTTTATCCTCCTACGACATCCCTACATTGCAGTATCAGTGGTAGCAACATTAATTTATTTGAGAAGTGGTTAGATTACATGAGATTCCTGAATCGATTGTTTGATCGAGATAAAGTGTTCCTCAGCCAGTTTTGGAGGGAGCTTTTTAGGATGTTGGGCACTGTTCTCAAGAGAAGCATCTCCTACCATCCACAGACAAATGGATAGGAAGAGGTGGTTAATCGGAGTTTAGAAACATATTTAAGGTGTTTTTCTTTTGAAATTCCATAGAAGTGGGCTAAATGGTTATCGTGGGTTGAGTATTGGTACAATAATTCTTACCATTCTTCCTCCCAAATGACTCCTTTTAAGGTGCTCTATGGAAGAGACCCCCCACACTTAGTGCATTTTGGGAGAGGAAACACGCAAGTTTCTTCAGTCGAATAGTACTTAGAGGAGAGGGACCAGGTATTGGAGTTAAAGAAACATTTAGGGAGGGCACAACAAATCATGAAGAAACGAGCATATATACACATGAGAGACATATAGTATGAAGTGGGGGAGAAAGTGCTCTTAAAACTAAGGCCCTACCGACAAAAATCAATTGCTAACAGGAGGAATAAGAAATTGGCACTGAGGTACTTTGGTCCCTACGAGATGGTGGACAAGATCGGAGCAGTGGCATATCGATTGAAGTTACCCCAAACGGCCACCATACACCAAGTTTTCTATGTGTCATAGCTGAGGAGAGCTCTAGGGGAGCATGCATTTAGTGCAGAGTTGCTTGATACAGTGATAGAGGAGATGAAAATGATCTTAGAACCATTGGAGTTAGGAGGGGTCAAAGTGGATAAAAAGTGGAACAATGAAGAGCTTATCAAATGGTAGGATATTCCTGAGTTCGAGGCCACTTGGGAACCATACGACAAAGTGAGACTCCAGTTTCCTTCTTTTCACCTTGAGGACAAGGTGAGTTTTTGGGAGGGGAGTAATGTTATGCGGCCGGCCCAGGAGGGGCCGGCTGAACCAGTCCAACAGGGACTGGTTCTATTTTACAGCCGTCGGCCCAAGTTTGGGTGGAATCTAGGTGGCGACAGCCCTAATGGGGCCCACTTGCTTATTTAAATATTGTTTAGGAGGTAAAATTTGAATGAGGGTCTGTTTAGGGATCCTCCTTTGGCCTTAATTAGTCTCTTGAAGGTTAGGGTTAGGGTGATCTGGCGATTGAATGCAATTTTGAGATCTAGGATTTGTGTTCTTGGGCTCTAGGTTTGCTAGAGATTTGGAGAGTCTTTCTTCTTCTCGAATTAAAGAAATTTGTATCTTGTTTTGTGTTTCTTATTTATTGTTTGAATCGAAGTATTTCCCGTGTTTTATTCTCCAAACAACTAAAATTCCTGCATTGTTCTTGTTGATTTCTTATTGAAATGAGCCATTTTACTTGCTATTTTTACCGATTCTTGCTAGGTTTGCTTGAGAACTCAAGTATTACCCTTGGGGTTACTTGCAAACTCAAGTACTTTCTATCAAGTTACTTGCTCCTCGACTTTTCTCAACCATGGTTGAAGAGAGAATAAACCCCATGGAAGCCATAAACCACATCATGACCCATTTGACTTCAACTAAACTACTAGCTCTAAGGCCACCTATTAGGGAATGAACCAAAGAGGGACTAAAGTTGGTTGAGGTGTACTAGCGGTCATTATTTTTAACCAAAAACCTCGGCATATGAGTGAGATTCATCCGCTCAAAATTTCTATACCAAATTTTTTTTTTATCTATCTAATTTGGGATTAAAGACAAAGCCTCATGCACCTGATCAACACTTCTTTCCTCTTGCGAGAGAAAATATTAAAGTCTTATATATAAGGGGCATGTAGCATGTAAGAAAGTAATCATCTTGGATAAATATCTGCTACTACCAAGAGATATGGGAGTACCAAAGCATGACAACAATATAATTTGGATTGCGAGGAAGATGAAATAACCACCACTTTATGAGTGATTTTTGCCACATCCCATATTAAGAATATGAATAACAAGTTATAGAGTCAAACTCGTATATTGTAAGACAATTTCTAGTTTGTTCACCTCCATCCTGAATATTTCTTGGATAGCTGATTTTAGCGCCTTCCTCTTTTTAGGGTACTAAGAAAATGTTCGTGGCTGCACCTAACATTTTATTTCAATTCTTGCTAATGTCAGCTATATCATTGGACTGAAAAAGACTAGGCAACTATTGCTCTTTCACATGTAAATGGGAAAAAAGTTGACCGCCAAACTATGCAATTGAAATTGAATAGAACAAACCAGAATAAGTTTGATATGTATTTTATATTACAAAATAACTTGTGCTAATGTTTTGAAAAATTTAACCGAATAAAGTGGGGTTTAATCAAATGAAGACACGAGCACCAAAAGGACTATGGTATGAGAAAAGTCTGGAAATTGCTTTTAAAGTGCCAACCAGCACCAAGAATGATATAGAAATCAGATTTTGCATTTCCACCAGGAGATTCACCATGATTTCAAAGAGAAATTGCAAGTCATTAGACCTATTACAAGCATTTTAATTAGGTTACCCATATCACCAATGAACGATCCTAGTGTCCCTTGATTTCTAGTTAATCCCTGATGTAAGGGATTATGGAATCATTCTATTATGCCTGGAATTCACTAAATTAAGCAAGTTGATTTTGTCTGTTCAATCAATATCACCATATACAGCACATGAAGTTTCATAACTTTCTTTTTCATGTAAGTATTCATGCTATAAATCTATGAAGGACAAATATGAACCTTGAAATGTATCTCACCTCAGACATCCAAGTAACCTCTCCAATGCACATGCCTCCTGCAAGGAATCCAAAGTAGCATAGAGAGCGCTATCCCTTCTTCTCAAGACTTCCTACAAAAACAATAGCTGAAGCAATCATTATCCTTATAAGAAGAGAGGCAATAGTAGCCTTATCTAAGCAAAAGAGGGGAAAATAAAAAGTAAAACCCTATCAAGGATTCTAAAAGGGTCATTACCTTCCCATACTTTACTAAGTTAGATGGAAGCGATCCCCACAACACATTGCTGTCTGGCCACTTCATAACATCATATGTACTTAATGGAATTGTTGTAGAAGGATTCTTTGTGGACGCCTTGCTTGCAGTGAGAATCTTCCTTTTGGCAGAATTACTGAGAAGTACCTTTAATTCTTCTCCATCTCTTTTTCCAGCCCATGATTCCTCCAAACTTTCACCTTTGGATATGCAGGAACTATAATGGGCAAAATTACCCTGAGTAAACAAAAAAAAAAGGAGAAGCCAATCACACAATTTACTGAAACTCACAGTAACTTGAACAATTGTTTTAAAAGTAATAAAGCGACAATAAAAAAGAGGAAATATCATAAGCACATAAATACGAAGCTAAGATAAAAAAAATCAATATAAAATTTTTGTATAGAGTTTGTTATCAAACTTGAAAGTACAGTCAAATATTGCTTACACATTAAATTTTACACATTAAATTATTGCCCTTCGATTTAAAGCTTGTTCAATTGCAACCCATACAAAACTTACTGGTATATCCTACATTTAAACTTTAGCTATTTTATTGTAATCATATAATGTGACATAATATTGACCCCCTAAAGTATCCAAGGAAAATCATAAAACTGGAAAATATATGAAAAGCTAAAAATGTATGAGGCTATTTTGAAGATTTGGCAAGTGATAAAACAAAACATTTTTTTGCAGCTTTAAAGAGAAGTGTTAGTAAAAACATCTAATTCTTATGCATAAGTATCAATTATGATGAAAATATAAAATAAATGTGGGCACCAAAAATTCACGCCCCAGCCGCTCCGCGACCCCTTTCTTTTTCGGGTGTTGAGGACAGTTTTAACGAGTAAGTTCCGAAGCAAATGTTCAGAAGGCAGATTGGGTTTTGAATTAGACGTTACCCAAATATTTCACCCTCATTTTATGAGAACTTTATGATATGAATTAGGGTTTCCTATTGGCGCAAGCCCTTATAGTTAATTACCCCACCCGATAACGAGAGAGAACTTTCAATTAAGGCAAGTCATCAAACATATACGTAGTATCCAGCGTATAGTAGCAACACGTTTAGGAATTTAAAATTTAACATGTAAAATTAAAAATTTATCACCTTTCACTTAAAGAGGATGGTGGGAGAAATGATAATGGACTCAATCAAGATCTCATGGTTCTGTCGTCCCGGGTAATCATGATCCCTGGTCTACTTAGAGGAGATATGCAACCCAATTTGACAAAAGGATTCTTGTCGACAACCATGGGTTGTTTCAGTCAAGAGAACCTTGTAGACCTGGGGTAAGTATTTTTCTAAGGAGACATATTTGAATCCACCTTAACTAACAGAGAATTTTATGTTCTATCGATCATAACATATTGATTAATTACTCAAAGATTTAAAGTTGTTGGGAAACAATCATGCATAGATCTTGACCATAATTTAATGGTACCATTTGGCAGCAAAATCACCCGGTCAGAGGGTCTTGGTTATAACTGTTTATTTGTGGTATCATTTGCTGGTGAAACCACTGATTAGAGAACATGTGGCACGTCCTTACTAGCAAGAGACAAATTTATAATGAATCATAGTGATATTCCCGATCAGACATTCGCTTTTTATTAGATGAATTGATTTTCAAATTATCCACTTTGGCAAACTATTGTGAAGGATGGATGTGTATTTTGCTTAAATATTTTGGCATTTTATTTTAATTTTAAATATTTAGATTTTGATGACTTTTGAGTTTTAAATTTTCATCGTAATTTGGCCAGCATTTTTAAATATTTGGGGCTCCGATTGAGATTTTCTATCAACACGGTCATCATTAGGGTAATATTATAGTCACTTCAAAAGATTTGTATTTTGTTGAAGCTTGGAAGCATTAGAAAATGTAGGGTCCCCTTTGGTTGAGATAAACATTTAATATGACCATCATTGGGTTCTTATGGACAATTTCATTTTATTGGTTGAACATTCTCGACTCTATCAACTTGTCAATAAAGGATCGGATTCGTTGATAGCTTTATGCATTTATTAGTGATTTTTTTTATCATAGACCTTGAAGGCTTAATACATATTTATAAAATAAATATTTCGTTCAATGACGTGATAGTATATTTGTTTGATAGTTTGAGCAGTGTCAACTCCTATATATTCAAATAAAAGGATCGAGCTCGAACCTAAGTTCATTTTTTGACTGTACAACAACCTCAGATGTCACGTGTGTACCTATAATACACTCGCTGGGCCTATGCGGGTATATGCCTATGCATGTATTTTGCATGATGCATTTATACGATTGTCATACATATCTAATAGATCTATGAGTCACATTTGCATGTTATGCATACACATTCATATATCTATCTATGTTGCCATGTGTATTTGCATCTTGCATGCATAGCACAATGTTGCTATGCAGTACACTTTATATGTTGGACAATGTGCTTGCATGACGTGTTATATATTTTGCAACATATATATGCATAGTGTGAGTGTATATTGAGGCAATGTGTTGTCAGAGTGTGACACATTTTGCACTTTTCAATGATACGTTTGCATGATACATGTTGCATGTTGCAACATGTATTTTGCATATGGCGATGTATATGTATCTGATATACTCATATATTAGGAGAAGATGCCTGCAACATGTCAACTCATTCTTAACTACATGCAATTATGACATGCTTTTTTCATACATTTGTGTAATGTATATAGTGCATTTTGTACGTTGCAGCATATACATGCTGAAGCATTTTGCATGTTAATGCGCGCGATGTGTCACCGCAACATGGCGTATTTTTCATGTTGGGTGATATGCTCGCATAATGTGTTCTGCATGTTGTAATGCATGTATGTATAATATATTTGCATGTAAATGCAATGAGCTACTGTAGCATAATACATCTTGAATGACATGCTTAAACGATATATTCGGTCTATTGCAATGCATGTAGGAGGACATTTTAGGGTGTTTGATATTAATAAGTTGTGCAAATTATTATCATTTGTGAGTGTGTGTAATGTTCTATTTTCGAAGCCTATAGACACCTTCTATTCGCTTGCATGAGTGTTACAGGTTTGGTGGCATGGCATTGCACTTCATTCATTGCGCATCGACAGTACAATTTGCTCACTTCATCTTCTACATGTTACCTTTTTCTTCAATATTTAGCTTGCAGGAGTGTTTTTTTGCCGACAAATGCATTGTGCGATACATTAGGGGTCTCCTACCTATCTCTTGCAATTGAGCTGATTTATTTAATGTGACAATATAGCATTGCAAATTTATTGCCTCATATTATTAGTGGCTTGTCGCAATTTTACCACTAATTCCCTACTTTTGCTTACAGGTGAATCGTAGCTTGCACTATGAGTTATTTGCTGCTTTATGTAGGTAGACTGTCATGCACTAATCAATCTCCTACAGTTGTTCATAGATGCCTGCATTTATCATAGGCTTGTTATTTTTACCTGCAGGTAGTGTGTTGCACTCGTTACAATCTTCTTACTCATACCTAGAAAGAGTCCACCATACTCGTTACAATGTTCTCCCAATTTTTATAGTGGATTTCTTGGTGTGGTGTGGCTTCGTGATTTTTTCCCGATTTCATATTTTTCCACGTTAAATCTTGGTGTTCTTTTTACTTTATGCTGCTTTTACTTTCTTGTTAGTTTTTGTTACGTAGTTTTACTTTCATCCCAACCAAATCAATTATTTTAAGCAATGTCTATCAATGTTGTCATAGGGTTTCTCTTTGTGATACTAAATCTACCTATGTCTACACTAGATATTTTTTCTACTATTTATCGTTAAGTGTCCAAACAACCAAACTCTATTCATCATATGGATAAATTACAAATTATTAAATTGAAAAGAATTTCATTGTTTTCAGGCATTTTTTTGATTGAAATAAATACCCAAGAATTTCTCGGATTGAGGTAAAAAGAAAGGATCCACTCACAGTACTGGAACTTCGCGTTTTGAGGATAGGCTTGTCCTCGCGCTTCCTATCCTTCATGAACTCATCAGGTTCCCAGATCTTCCTCACCGTCTTTGGCCTTGGAATCATCGACACAAAAGAATGCGAGGAAGAGTTCGAGATGCTAGTAATAACTGAAGACTTATCAGACTCGTCACTCTCCTCATCAATATGTGAAACACCTATCTTCATCGGCTGTCTCACCACAGAGAAAACCCTGTCTATTTCCTTCCTCTTTGTCGGCGAACTCGGACAAGAATTAGAATGCAGCATCCCATGCCCAACCTTCCGCCCATCCATCTTCCAAGTGTTCGCAGACCGCGGCTGCCGCTTCTTCCTCTCTGGCGTGGCTGGGCAAATCGTCGAACATGTTCCGGACGACGTGGCGTGTATGGCCGCGGTGTGCTGAGGGAAGGGACGCCGGCCTGGGATGAGACGTAGGCCGTGGAGGATGGGAACAGGAGACGAGGCTTCGAGACGGCGGACGAGGATGAGCTGTCCGAGCTGGAGATTGTCGCTGAGGATGAGATCGTCGTGGCCCGGCGGTAGGGAGACGTAGGTGGAATGCGAAGAGTCGGAGACCTGGAGATAAAACCCTCGGTCAGGGAAAAGATCGGAGTCGGCCAGGGCAGGGACGATGCCGGTCACTTGAAGGATGGATGAACCGTCGTCCATGTCGTCGTCGGAGAGATAATCGTCGGCGAGGAATCCGGAGTCGGAGGAAGATGACGACTTCATGTCGCGAATGAGCTTGAGGAGGACGCCGGAGCTCAAGTTCGCCATTGCTGGGGCTTGGGCGTGAGGCCTAACAGGCAGAAGGAAATAGAAAAGTTTTCGCCTCTAGCAGTTAATCAATGGTTCGGCTTCGATTCCTGGCCGCAGGGAAGGCTATACGGGTTGGGAAGGGCGGGCGGCGGGGAAAGGAAAAACGTTGGTGAGAAACGATAGATCACCATCCGTTACTGTCGAGATTCGTGTTTTTGATGCGATGGAAGTTGATCCATTGTTTCTTGCAGCTAAGAATTCGAATGGGATTTCTGGCCAAGTTGGGGGGTCCAAACGGAAATAACTGCCGATATTCTCTTGTGGGAAAGGTCAAGACGAGGAAGTTCGAATTAGCTAAAATTGGCTATTCTTCGTTTCTCTACTCCGCATAATCGTATTGGTTTTGAATTTGTTTGACACAATTATTAATTTTAGAAAAAAAATTACCAAAATTACTTTTTAACCCTAAATATTAAATATAAATTTCTGAAATTGTCCCAGTCATCGCATTTTTCCGATTTTTTTATAACCATTAAGGCCCCAAAAAAAAAACATCATATTGCCACCAAGATATGTGATTAAGATTTTGTTTGGGACAATTTTTTAATTATTTTTTAAAACAATTTTTTTGTTTAGAAATTAAAACTTTTATACTAAAAAGCTATTTTAAGAAACAGTAAAAAATCCGTCAACTTTTCACAAAATATTTTATAAAGCTGTTATTAAGAACAATTTTTTATGTTTTTTTTACTAAAGTTAACATTATTGTTTAGAAAATTCAAAAAATAAAACTCTTTTTTTGTTTCAAAGAAACAAATTACCTTTAAGCCCTCATATATATTATACTACAAAATAACGATTATGATTTTTTCTTTTGCCTAATGAATTATGACGATAGCTACGATCAAAATGCTAGTGAGGCAAGTCAGCCGTTGGGGTGTTGCAATACAAATTTATGCTTGGAGTTCGAGATGAGGTCGAGTCGGAGAGAAAGGAATTTCGCTTGAGACAGAAGAGAGGGAGGGATTTCGATGCGAAACAACGATAAAGGAAACCAAAAGGGGGCATTTTGGGTATTTCTCTGATCCGAAATCACGAGAAGCAGACAAACTACCGACTCGAAATAACTTTTGGATTTTAACATAAAATGATATTTAAAAAAAAAAAAGCTTTTTTTTAATATAGCCTTTAAACTAATTGTAATGTTGAGTTGAGATCATTTGATCCTCCAATTAAGATTTTTACATGTTTTGTGTTCATTTTTTGTATTATCAAATTGTACTAAAGAGAACCAGAAGACAACTTCTAATCAATTTGATCGAGTTCATTAGCTCAATTGTGTTGAGCAAAATAGATTCATTTTGACGTTTGTTTTAGATAACATCTTTGATTTAGCTAATTAATACTGCTCACAATATTGAAACAGCTTAAAATTAAGAATACCTCATGAACCCAAATCTAGGAGTGGGAGGTATCTCTCATTAATGATGTTTAGAAAAGCCTAAGATCGAGCCCTCCTAGGAAGAAGAGATTATTAGGTGCGGAGTGCGGATGGGGAGAACTGTCCGCACACAAGTATAGGGTACCCAGCTAGGTACAACTCGGTACCGCTGGGTACTGCTTGGTACCCTGTGCTTGTGCGGACGGTCCATACTCCGCACCTAATAATTTTTCCCTAGGAAGACTCCTCTTAACTACTTTAATATACTCATGGGATTTAATGAGCTTTAGAAGAGAACATCAAGAATTGCTCATTGAGTGGCTCACCCTCATTCTAGCATATTCTTGGGAAATGGTAGGATTCCTTGAAAATTTTCTAATTTATTATTAATTGCCCGATAAAGAGGTCGGCAAGTTTGGCGAAGGTGTGGATGGTCCCTCCTAGAACAACGTAGAATCATGTGTGAGCTATCCCTTTGATGATGGCAGGGAAGACTTAGCAAAGGACTACATCGAAGAATCATTGAATGTACGTGATGGTGTAAGTATCAACTAATCGTCATGTAGTGATTGATGTGTTCATAAGGATCAGATGCTTCATCATAAAAGCCTATGTTAGGTCGCTTGAACTCTATTAGAATCATAAGGATCAGACGCTCCATCACAAATACTATTTCGATTATTTATTAGAAATATGTGACATTAAAATTTTATATTAGGACATAAAATAAATTTGAGTTTTATTTATAATTTAAAATAAATATTATATATTTTTTTCAAATGCTCAATGAGGCAGATAGCTTCAGCACAGTCAAAGGAGAGGGCAGACGGCATCCAAATGGTAAAAGCAATAAATATCTAATTAAGGAATTGATAAACTGTCATCATAACACCAATTTGCTTGAATAAAATAAAAATCGAGATAGCATTAGCGGGAAGATGGTCGACGGAAGCTCTTCCTCCCCTCTCATCCCACGCTTGAATCCCTTAACGTTAAAAAAAAATCTACTGAAAAGATAACCATAGGCTTTAATATGTAACTATGCCACTGTCAAATATTTTCAACTTAAGGAAAACGATATTTTCTCTTGAGATTTGTTTGGTTTGAATTAGAGGTGTGAGTTAGTAAGTTAGCCCACGAATTGACTTTTAACTTATTAATGAGCTCATAAATCAAAATTTTTGAGTCATAAAATCAAGCTCATATTTCATCTTATATAATATATACCTCGATTTTGAGCTTGAATCGGCTCAACTTGTTGGCTCAATTAATACTAATTAGATTTAGGACTCATTATGTCACAACTTTATGTGCCTTTTTTCCAAACACCCCAAATGTGAAGCTCATTAAGAAAATAAAGTTAATGTCTTAAAAGCTTAGGTGTCTTTTGGTATAATGACTTGAATTTTTATAGAAACTCCAAAGCTAATCATGCTCATACGTGAGCACTTATAAGATAGGTGATCTCCTGGAAAGTTATAATCATAGGACAATATCTCGAAAGTTCAGAGTTTAGATTGCTGCAAAATAGTATCAGTGTAATACACCATCTAGAATATGGGACCTCTACCTTTAGAATCGTATGTACCTAGTGGGTGATTTTGGGCTAAGGAAATTGACAAGGACTTTAGCTACTCAAGTGAGTGACATTATGAAACCCCTTATAAAAATAAAGTTAATCTCTTTGAAATCAAGCCACCTTTTGGTGTAACTATTGAAATTTCAATAAAACTCCAAAAATAAGTTTGTTTGTACATGTGCAGCCCTAGGATGGGTGACTTCATAGGCAGTTATGCAAATGGGACAAGATGGTGAGACCATTAAGCAAATGCATACAATATCTTGATGATTAAGAGTTTGGGCTATTACTCCAAGTGTCATTCGTTGCGTCCTCTTACTAGCTCCTATCATTGCATTCTCTGATAAGCACCAATAGTTGGGTTCTCCAAAGAGCTTCATCATGTGTTCTCTAGCAAGTGTTAATATGCGTGAAATTTGATTGTCTCGATCAATTAGGTTGTATTGTTGTCACATATCTCAACTTAGTTTGCCGTGCTCGATTGGGGGGGGGGAGTCTTCATCGTCCTAGTGCTATGTATCCGAGCGCTTCAACACTACAGAGTTCGCTTGGAGAAAAGATAGAGAACAAAGCACTACAACACTCAATATATGACATTGTGGAGCTTTCAGACAGACTAGAGTGAAGAAAAGCTGAGAAGAACCTCAGCTGTACCTGCAAGTTACGAAATGCAAAGAAGAAGAAGATGAACAGTAATTGCACAGTAATTCCACTGTTTCATTGCCTGCTGTTGTTTACAAAACATTCTTTATATAACCATACTAATGCCACGTGTATGGCAGATATCAAATAGAGTTAGTTAAGGCTTAACGGTGATTAAGGACTGGGTCTGTTTGCTGTCAGACTGTGAGCGTTAGTGGAGGTGCGCTCTGATATAGAGACAAAGCGTTTAGCGCCACAGTGCTCCAAACTAACATGCAACACAACGAGGTTGGTTGGACAATTTTTCTTAATGTGGTGTCCCTTGGTGGTATGTATTGTAACTTTCTGTTTTTTCTTATGTAAGAATAGTATAAGAGAAAAGGGAAGCATGGAGAGAGTAAGAGAGAAGAGAGATTTTAGTTGACTCATTCCTTCTGTTTATCAAAACTTTGTCAATCTTTCATGACGAAATAATAACTAAGGCTTTGTTTGAAACAACTTTTTAATATAAATTTTTTTTCTACTAAAAAATTATTTTAAGAAACATTAAAAAGCCACCCAACGAAGCCTTGACCTATTCTCCATTAAGTATTCATTTAACATTGCATACTTAAAAATAAAATATTAAATAAAAAAAGATTGCATATTCATTCCATATGGACGACCTTCGCTCTCTTTTCTTTCTCTCTCACTAGTGCTGAAGCTAGCTGTACTCAATTTTATTTTAAACCTTAAAATAAAATTATGTTTTATCAAATAATCAAACAGCACATTATCATTTAATCATATATTTAAACACATTAATAGCCCTGTTCTGATGTGAAATTTTTCTTTTTTAAAAAAACAAAGCTGTGTTGACACAGCCTTATATGCCGGCCATCAGATATGATCTCCTATCACCACCGTCCATTTCAACCATTAACGGCTAGTTTTGTACGTTGATCAAGTCAAAACTCCTCCTTCGTCCTCCCACTACATGCCCATTCAAACTTCCTAACTCCTAAGCTTAAAACATCCCAATCCCTCCATCTATATATACTCCTGCCTTAACCATTATCTTCACTACAAGAGCACTCAGGCCTCGGGTTTCTAATTTCACCAAACATTGAAGTTTGAAATTTTTCTTTCCTGAAATGGCGTCTCAGACGATCGTCGACAGCCACCGGGAGGGCGCTGAGGTCTTTCAGGGCGATGAAATCTGCAGGAAGAAGTCCATTGAATTGCTCGAAGAGCTCTGCCTTCCAAAGGGTCTTTTTCCCTTGGAAGATATTGAGGAATTCGGCTATAACCGTACTTCTGGCTTCATATGGCTGGTTCAGAAGAAGAAGAAAGATCATGTGTTCAAGCCAATAAAGAGAGCTGTGTCTTATGCTCCGGAGGTTACTGCTTTTGTTGAGAAGTATAAGTTGAAGAAGCTGACTGGTGTTAAGACTAAAGAACTTCTGATCTGGCTCTCTGTTGTAGAAGTCTATTTTGAGAAGCCCACATCCGAAAAACTCACCTTCAAGACAGGCACCGGCCTTTCGGACAGCTTCCCAGCTTCTGCCTTTGAGTTGGCAGAGTAGTTCCATGGGCAGGAAAATGTCAGAAAAAAAAAAAAAACTTTGATTACAAGTTTCACATGAGTGCTTCATTAAATGTTTAATGATTTCTGATCATAGTATGTGTTTGTAGCTTGTCATTGAAGAAGTTTAGCTTCTACAATTTGTCAAATTGCAAAACGGTCGATTATATCTACTTATCTAGCTCCTTATTTGAGTTCATGAGATAATCTTAATTGAACTGTTTCAGATCTTGATAGCAGTACTAGCTAAAACAAAGATATTATCTAAAACAAACTTCAAAATGAAAATATGTAAGAACAAATTACTTTTACACGATATTATTGAACTATTAAATTCCATCAAAACAATTGGCAGTTCTATCTTCTGCTTCTTTTTAATACAATTTAATAAATATTAAACAAAAGAATACAAAAGATGTAAAAAGACTTTACCTTCCAAGAAGAGATCAGTGTCTGCTATGCTGAAAGCTGGATCCTCTTCCTTCTCTATACTGTACAAAGATTCACTTCAAGTAATGTTAATTAGCTCTACATAATACACGAAAGCTCTGGCATGATAGCATTTATGCGATTCAAATTCTAAACCTGTTGATTTCAAATTAATTGGACTCCATCACTCCAAACACTGCTGATCAGCTGTCTTCATCAGAATTTGCTGCTGGATTTGATACATATCTATGGACAGGCAGCGAAGAACTTGTGGGTAAGCGAAAAGACTTTGCAGTTGCAGAGCCAATCACTGTCCTCTCATGCAATCTACCTACATCCTTGCACACGTGACCAAGAACTGATAGGAAGTCCCTCACCACCATAAATATCCTCAATGGATGAGCTTCCTCCTTCGCAGCATCCCCATGGAAGTATTCAGTTACTTCTCTTACTCGATGAAGCGCCCTCTTCACCTCAGACTTAACCAAATCAATTTCCTGTTCACCCTCTTGAAGAAAAGTTCTCATGTTGTCGAAGAACTTTTGGCCTTGCTCACATGACTCTCCAAGCTGTAACACCGATCTTATCTTCTGAAGCCCCAGCTCTAGCTTTGAGAGGTAGCTACTGAGGACATCTGTATCCATACCGGCTGCCTTCTTGACATTACCAAGCTCATTGCTCAGGCCTGCGATGATTTTCAGGCCCTTCTTCTTGTACTCCTCCTCCATGTTTTTGTTGGGAAGATTTTCTGATGTAGCTTCAGAAGCTAATCCCTCTGAGCGAATGATCTCCTGTACAACAAAATGTAGGACAGTAGTCTTTCCGTCTGTCCCTTTCACATCTGCCAACTTCAACAGGGCGTCAAGCTTGAAGGCTTTAGCCTCACCATGGTTTGTACCAACATTCATACGGTTTCCAGTTCTGAGAACAGCCTCTAGGAGCTTGAGAAACAGCCTACTACTTTTTAGATCTTCACAGGCAGCCTGGAAAAACAAAAAGAACAAATGATTTAATGGAAAAACCTCAATTTAGCGCCTGCCAACAATCAAAAGAAAGAAAACTAGTGATAATTTGAAGTAAGAATGTATTTCATATCCTTTTACCTCAAGAGTTCCAAAAGATGTCCTCAGATACTTTATTTCTGTTTCAAAATTGGCTTTGTAAAGCATTGTATCGACTCTTTTGAAAGCAAATGGTATGTCTAGAAGACCCTTCAAAAACCGCTCTGCAGGCCCTAGTTTTGATACATCGCCATTGAAGTCCCTAAGCTTCAACTCTTCTTCCTTAGTAGGAGCCATCTTGACTAAGGTTTCAAAAAGCTCAGCCCCCAGGCCTTCAGTATTTCCTATAACAACAATGTATAAAACTTATATGCATGACAAATTTAAAAATAGTTCTCTCTGCATTATCCATAAATTTGAATGGAAAAACATAGGCCAAAGTTTGAGAATCAGACATATGACATTACCCGGTTTTTAGGCAAATAGTTTGCTTATATTATTACAGAACAAAAATGTAATCGCACAGTGATTCTATAAAGCTGCCATCTAGAATGTTGATTTCTTTTAAGAATGAGAGAAGCAAGAGATTCTGTTTTGAGAAAATCACTAGTTGAAAACGTCAAAAAACCTTAAAAGCAGTGTATTCATGGGCACTTTGATGATAACAACTCGGAATACTAATAATAGTGGCATTTATCGAAATATAATTTTGAGTGTTCAATCTATTACTATATGGATTCAGTTGTGTTGTTTATAGTTCTCCTCTATATTATCGGATTCATAATGCTCTATCTTTGAATCCATTTTCTTAGACTAATCCTCATCTCCTTCAACATTTATTACCTTAGAAGTATGTTCTTCCGTCTGCATTTGATCAACTTATTTCCAATTCTATTTTCACGTTATATAAATTATCATTTTGAAAATTTGAATCATCTTTAGAATTTAAAGCACTATCACCTATTTATTAAAATCAAGCAAAAGCACTCACCTCAATGTCTGATGTCATAACACAAGACGCTTGCCAAGGCAAACAGTATTAATAAGCCTGCTTAGAAGGTGAGTGGGCGCTATGGCCTTACATTATTTAAGCACTAAGACGATCATATGAGTCACCTTCAACAACATTGTCTTCTCAAATGTCAAAGTTCCATCATCTAACATTTTTAATAACACATACACCTGTGTATACTTGGAGTACCTGTATAAAGAACACCTGTCTTCTAGAAGATTGTAATAGGCTTAGTATAGGTTTCAGGCTACTCTATAAATACTGCTCTATGTACTATTATAACAGATGAATAATAAAATATTTCTTTCGTTGTTTACGTTATCATGATATTAGAGCGGGTTTCTTTTACCTGAAACCGCTTTTTTCGTCCCTTCTCTCGGTTCTTGTCTCCGGTGACCCTTCTCTGTCTCTCCGACAATCCTCTCTTGTGCTCAGTCATGGACACTTCCTCGTCCTCACAAACTGAAGAAATTCAAGAACTGCTTCTTGATGACAACCTCACCATTCCCACATCCCTCAAATTTGTAATCTCCAACATAAAAATCATAGTTCCGGTGCAACTATCATTGGAAAACTACCCTGTTTGGAGATCACAGGTTCTGAAACTACTTACAGCGAACGGATTTGCATCTTTTCTCTCCCAATCGGTATCTCCTCCGGCAACGCACAAGACTCTTCAAGATGGCAGCAAAGAACCCAATCAAAAATATCAAGAATGAGTTCTTGTGGATCAAAACCTGGCGGCTGCGCTCTGTTCCACTGTTTCTCCGGCCACCTCTCCTATGTTATTCATCTGGACTCTACATCTATTATTTGGCATACGCTTGAAAAACGTCTCCGCTCGTCAAATAGATCACGCGTTATTCAGCTCAAAAATGAGCTGCATAACGTCCAGATGAAATCACAAAATATGACACAGTATCTTCAGCAGATCAAAACCATCGTAGACAAACTATTTGGCATACGCTTGACACAGTATCTTCAGCAAAATATGACACAGTATATTCAGCTCGGCCGGATCGAAGATTGATCAAGAAGAAGTTCTCCTATACACGATGAATGGCTTGCCTCCATCATATAATGCCCTCAAGACTACCATTCGGGCAATGCAAAACCCCATGGATCTTGACACGCTGTACTCGTTACTGATAACAGAAGAAATAAATCTTCAATCTGAATCGGCTCGTCAAAATCTTCTAGGACATTCGTCCACTGCTCTCTACTCAAACAGGGGCCGTGGCCGGCGTGGACGTGCTAGATCTTCCACACAGCAAGCCCGATCCACCAATCAAAACATACCTCAATGCCAGATCTGTAGCAAAAGAGGACATCTCGCACACAACTGTTGGCACAGATTAAACATCTCCGTCAATCCTCCCGACACGGCGGCTACAAATACCTCTACCAGAGCGATGGTCGCAGCTACAGACAACGACAACCCTGATTGGTATCTTGATTCCGGCGCTTCAGCCCATCTCACAAACTCGGTGGACAATCTCTCGCAAGTCCAGTCCTACAATGGTACCGACACCATTACCATAGGTGATGGCAGATCTCTATCCATTGCTCACTCCAGCAATGGTATTCTGCCAACACCGTATCGTAAGCTACAACTCAACAATTTACTTCATGTTCCACATTTATCGCATAATCTTCTTTCTATCTCTAACTTAACTCAAGATAACAATGTATCTGTGAACTTTAACCCATCTGGTTTTGCCATTAAGAATATGAAGACAAACAGAACACTGCTACCGAGTCCAAATCGCAAAGGTCTATACCCAATTCGCTCGGCCAACAGGACTAGCTCCGGCACCACGGCGTTAACAGCATGATCCAATGCCGCAACCCTCTGGCACCAAAGATTGGGACATCCTCATTCAAGAACAGTCAAAGCTGTGTCTGCTTCTAATAAACGTCTTCACATATTTCATACATTGTCTTTTTGCTCTGTTTGTACGACCTCAAAAGGTCATAGGTTACCGTTTTCAAATAAAACTCATCGTGCATCTTTCCTCTAGCCATTGTGCATACTGATGTTTGGGGTCCTGTCCCAGTTTCTTCGCATCAAGGTTTCCTGTACTATGTAGTTTTCATTGACAACTTTTCTCGTTTTTTCTGGGTTTTTCCTATGAAACACAAATCAGAAGATTTTGAAATTTTTCAGAAATTTAAAACATTTGTTGAAAAACAAACCCAATTTCAAATAAAATGTTTAAGATCTGACGGAGGTACGGAGTATTTAAACCATAACTTCAAAAATTTTCTTAATCACCATGGTATTGCACATCAAACTTCTTGTCCATACACACCTGAACAGAATGGGCTAGCAGAGCGTAAGCACAGACATCTCCTCGAAACAACTCGTACCTTGATCACCACTGCCTCGCTTCCTCACTCGTTTTGGCCTGATGCGGTGCTCACGGCTTCCTTCATTATCAACCGGCTACCTACGGTCACTACGGATTATAGGTCCCCTGTATCCATATTATTTCATATACAACCTGATTATAATTTTTTTAAGGTGTTCGGATGTGCGTGCTACCCGTGGATTCCACCAAATCAAAGAAACAAGCTGCAGCCAAGATCCCGTAGCTGTGTGTTTCTTGGTTACTCGCATATATCAAAAGGATATAAGTGCCTAGACATCAACACATACAAAGTGTTTACATCCAGACACGTGGTATTCGATGAACTTACCTTCCCGTTCAAACAAGTAACCACTACACCACCTCAGTCTACACCTCAGCTCTCTCCATCTCTTCTTGTACCTGTAACCCATACAATTCAGCCCAGATCCAAATCCTCTACCAATACATCCGATATCATCCATACCAAGCCCAATTCTCGGGAAGCTGCATCTACGCAGCCTTCTAACACCTTTAGTAATCACAGCCGAATATCACCCTCCTCCCATCAGCAGCTGCCTGATCCGCCGCCCGATAACATCCCACTTCCAACTCCTAGCTCTAATCATCCTATGCTTACTAGGAATAAGACCGGATCACTAAAACCTATCCAAAGACTAAATCTGCTTCATCTGCAAACATCCTCACCGCCTGACCAGATCTCCGAACCCACTTCATACACCGAAGCAGCTAAACATCATCACTGGAGAAGTGCCATGGCAGAGGAATTTTATGCTCTACAAAAACAGGGTACTTGGGAGCTGGTTCCTACTCCTTCTCAAAGTCCGGTACTAGGCAGCCGCTGGACATTCCGAATCAAGCATAAATCAGATGGTTCTATTGCACGTTTCAAGGCCCGTCTAGTTGCTCAAGGCAACAATCAGCAATACGGTTTAAATTACCTTGAAACATTTAGCCCGGTTGCTAAATTTCAAACTATACGTATGTTATTTACAATTGCTATAACTAATATGTGGCATGTGCATCAGCTTGACATGACGAATGCCTTCCTTCATGGTAACATAGACGAAACCATCTACATGAGACAGCCTATCGGCTTCGAGGATACCCATCACCCTGACTATGTCTGTAAGCTCAAGAAAGCAATCTATGGTCTTAAACAGGCACCTCGTCAGTGGTTCCAAACCTTCTCCAACTTCCTTCAAACTCTAGGCATCTCTCCGGGCAAAGCAGATTCGTCTCTATTTATACTTCATAAAAACAAAAGTCGCTTATACTTGGTTATATATGTCGACGACATATTGCTAACTGGGAATGATCAATCCTTACTTGACATTATCATCTCTCAGTTAAACAAACAATTTGATATGAAAATCCTTGGATTGGCACACATTTTTTGGGTATTAAGATAACAAAAGAGCAAAACTCGTATATGCTATCACAAACTCAGTATGCGGCTTCCATACTAGAATATGCTGCCATGAGTACGTGCAAAGCCTTGGCTAATCCAGCAACATCCAAACCTGCGGAAATTGACAAAGCTCACGGCATCCCAAAAGATCCGAAAGTATACAGTCAACTAACGGGGTCTCTACAGTACCTAACTATAACACGACCGGATATATCGTTTGCGGTCAATCAATTATGCCAACACATGCATAATCCAGAATCGGAACACTTCGTACTCCTTCACAGATTACTTCGTTACATTAAAGGCACTATCTCATTTGGTTTACCGATCTTGCAGGGCAGCATGGAGCTACATTCATACTCGGATGCGGATTGGGCTGGAGACAAGGATACCAGACGCTCTACCTCAGGCTACTGCTCATACCTCGGCAACACTCTCATCTCTTGGAGTGTTAAAAAGCAGCACACGGTTGCTCGCTCGTCTACAGAATCCGAATACCGCTCTCTTGCCACTGCACTCGTAGATATTCTATGGCTTAGAAGGCTCTTAACA